TGGCCTATTAAGACATTCTTACTCAACCTAATAAGAGGTGGGGCGATCTCTGTGAGACCACTGTGCGGCACCTTATCAAATGCTATACTTAGGTCGGTGTCAACAACAGTTAATGATTTCTTATCGTCAAGCAAACCTGCCTATCTGCGTTTTGCTACAAGAAGCCTGGTTGTACAATATAATTCTTTTATGAAAGCCTATTGTTAACTGTTTACCAAGTCTTTTGTTACCACCTAAGCCTTTATGGCAACTTCGATAATTCTTTTCACCCTTTTTAATACGACTGTGAGAGTGACGACTTTTTAGTTTGACGCGACTTATCCTGATCCCCTAACTTGACAAGCAAGCAGTCACTCTTGGACTGATAACTCCTGCTTGGCGCAATATTAAAGGTGGACCTCACAATGATCAACTAACTATCAATCGTTATCTTCCTTATAAGTGTTGGTGGATTTTGAGTCTATTTGTTTCACTCAGACTTTGGTCTTTCTGATAATAATTCTAGTTGTGATTATTTTCGGTTTCATTCTTATAGTCTGACTATTTGAAAATTCTCCTCTGGATGTTTAAACATTGAGTGTTTGTTTTCAAATTTGTAATAACTGTTATAAAAACAGTAAATATGTTGATTACTCGTGATTTACAATGGGACTTTAGATACCTGGTTTAGAATTCAGTTTTCTTGCTATTTAGACTGTAATTTGAGAGAGAGTCAATTGACACATGCAATATGTGGCATTAGTAGAAGTCAGTTGTTTGTATGAATTATGTTATAGCCAAAGATTATGAGTGAAAGTGCTTTATGTTGTCCCACTGAACTAAGTTTTCATTCATGAATGAACCCACACATATGTTTGGAGGAATTCAGTTTTGTCACTAGCCACACGATCCTTGAAGCTAAGCATATGATAGTTGCAGAGACTTACACTGGCAGGCAATCACCTAGTGAAGGCCAGCAATAATGAACAAAGAAAAAATAGTCAGAACGATATAACATAGTCATGCGAGCGTGGTAACTCAATGTAAACTCTTCCGTTCCGTATTAAGTACATTATTCTAGTTCTAGCCCGTATGTGTTCTTCAAAAGTACTAAATAACTAACTGCTGACAATAGTATACATAACGATGTCATTTGAAAATAAGATCTGATATATTTCATCGTCACATCATAACAAGTCTGAATCTGGGTAGTTGATTCATTATTCTAGTTCCAAGATTAATACACTAGTAATTGCTAACATTTAAATCCCAAATGTTTACATATCTAAAGGCGTAGAAGAATGTGACAATATAATAAATCGTAACAGGAGTAGAGACAGTCACTTATAAAGCGATCAAAGATTTATCATAATTGCGAAAGCTTGATACATTAGAGAACAGCAGAGTGCAAAACCTTTTCGAATGACCTTTAATATCATACATACCAAAATAAAAATTCTGTGCTTAACTGATACGGTTCTAATTAATGAAAGAAAACATATCACATCAGAAGTGAAAAATACTTCAGACAGTAAAACATATGTTTTGCAGCCAAATTTTTCTATGACAAAACTAGCTTTCTAAAGGGCTGAGCGAATAGCTAACCAGTAAGTTTTGCTTCAGTATGGTCAAACACGACCACACCGTCAGTGTCCCGGTAAATAGCCGCTGTTAAAAAAATTTATAAAGATAAACATTAACTACAATCACACAACAAAGACTGAGACGATGAAATCTGATGAATTTAAAGCGTGATTATCGATAATCCTAAGTGAAATTCTATGGTGTTACTTTCGATTAAAGCTGGTTTGACTCGGTCGACAATAATTACATCATTTTTTCCAGCTTTATCTACCATGATAGTTTTATCGTCTCTTGTGATTACTTCCATGGACTATCCTCGGTCTGTATGAGAATTTTGCTGAAGTCATTCTTCATTCAGGACAACTACTCGCTAAGGGAAATTCGACATTTGAAATTCATTTCCCAATTTAAGTCTAGCACACAGTATACTGGAGGCCACAATAATGAATAAGCAGGTGAATTATCATGAAAGATGATTAACGCTTTCATCCAATCTGACATTGATTGTCACAAACTTGCAGCACTGCAAAATATGGGTGTTGAGCTAAGCAGATCATCCGATACGACTTCTTTGGTAGTCTGAGCAAGGTAGGCATAATGTCTGATATCTCTACAGACCGACCATGACCGTTTATTCCGAAGCCGTGTAGATTGAAAGTTTTCGAAACTGTTCATGATGTATCACATTCGGGAATTAAGGCCACAATCGACTTAATCAGCGAGCGTTTTGTATGGCCAAGTGTGAACCGGCATGGTCGTAACTGGACGCAGGAATGTATAAAATGCCAGAAAGTTACAGTTCATCTTCAAACAAGTTCCGCAGTAGGTCTTTTCCGTCACCCAGACAGCCAATTCGAGGATATACATCTCTTACTTACTTACTTACTTACTTAAGC